CAGTGTTGTTGCACTTGTAATTCAGTGATTTTTTGGCAGAAACTTAAATTTGAGTGTTTCAAACTAGTAGAGCTCAAATGTAGTTCATTGAGTAAGTGGTTCATTGAGTAATTTGATGCTCATTAAGCTCAAATGTAGTTCATTCAGTGAAGAAGCTACTAGAACTCAAATGTAGCTCATTTCAAATGTACCAGACATAAGTGGTTCATTGAGTAATTTGATGCAAACTGAATTTGATGCAAACTGAATTTGATGCAAACTGAACTTGATGCACACTGAATTTTTGCTTCTCTGTCCATCTTTGCTGAATTTGAGGCACATTGAACTTTTTATGACTGAATTTGTATTGCTGAATTTTCTGTCAACTGAACATATGTACCAAATTTTGTTTAAAGAAAAAAAAATAAAAATCAAAAAAATAGTTTTCCCTGGGTCTCGAACCCAGGACCTAAGGTATTGAACGTTGTGGGTAATGCCAATGGGGTAAGTACTAGTGCTTTGATCAAGGGCAGGTACTAAACTAACTATTTAGTAGTTGCTAGTGGCCCAATGGCCCATGCCTTTTTGGTTTCCTTCTCTGCTCTTTAAGCCCACCCACCCACTGCTCCACTCTCCAATCACCTCTAGTCCACAGTCCACCCACGTCGCCTCGGTTACCCCGCTACCAAACCCCCACTCCGCCGTCAAGAAAACCCTCGCCGCCGACCACCACACCGCCACCGCCGACATGGAGAACAGCCCCGCCTGACAGAGGGTCATCGATGACCTCGCGAGCGACGACAAGGCGATGCGCACGAACATGACAGAGATCGGGAAGTGGTTCCCGAGCATTGCGATGCTGCGTCACCACGCGCATGGCCTCCTCAAGGTCATGACCGACGATGAGCTGGACCGCGCCATCATCGACCCCTTCTGTATCCCTTATGCGCTCGTCCTCTGCTTCGTGATGCAGGAGACGCGCTCCGACGACCCGAGGCAGTGAGCCCGGTGGTGGATGTACCGGTCCGCCACCGCGCCGCAGCAGCCGGATCCCTTGCGCGTTGGCTTGCGAACGGAGCGCATCCACAACGTCGACCTGGTTGTCCCCGTGCCTGTCGACACGGCGTACTGGGACCACTACCAGCCCGATCTCCTCGGGCGCGACGACGTCTCTGACACCGAGTCGTCCGACTCGGAGTATGACTCTGGCTTCGACGACGACTCTGGCTACGACGCCGACTCGTCCTGGTCGACTGGCTGGGAGGAGCCGGAGGTGATTGTCCTCTCTGACGACGAGCCGAGGTCAAGGTGGCGGCGCCCGTCGTCCCCGAGCCGAAGGTCCAGATGGTGACGCCCATCGCCAGGGAGGGTGACAAGCACTGCCCCATTGACGTCGAGGTGCTTCCAGATGTTCCTCACATCGTCAAGCAAGAGGTGGAGGTGGTCTTGGGCCTGGAAGCACAAGTTGACATTGCAGCACAGCCAAAGAGAAAGAAGAAGAGGAAGGTGACAGTTGCCATGGAGGTTCGCCACTCGGAGCGCCTCCAGAAGATGAAGAATATGGCAGTTGCCAACATGAAGAAGATGGCAGATGCAGTTAGTTAGGTATGCCGAAATATACAAATTTTCAGCATATAAGTTATAAAATAGTGTAGTTTTGTTAGATGTGCTTGTATATTCAGCACATAAGTTATTTCTAATTTCTGTTGGCAATGTTGAAGTACCATTTGTTGTTGAACTAAGTGTCAATGATGGAGTGCTATGAACTTATGTTTATGCTATTGATGATGTTGTCTTCTTGATGTTGTTGATGTTGTCGATGCTACTGGCTTGTTGATGTTATCTGTTGATGGTGCTGTCTTGTTGATCTTATCTGTTGATCCTGCTTTCTTGTTGCTATATAAGGCAACAATCCAAAAGAAGAAGCTACTAAGGTTATTTGTTGATCTTAACTGAACTTTGTCTGTTAACTGAATTTTGAAAGTTAACTGAAAAAATGTTCAACATTGAGTAGTTGAGATATTTAATTTAACTTAGTGGTCAACATTGAGTAGTTCAACTTTGTCTTGTTGCTATATAAGACAACTATCCAAAAGTGTGTTGTTGCTATATAAGACTACAGTCCAAAAGAAGTTAACTGAATTTTGTCTGTTGATGCCACTGAAGTTAACTGAATTTTGTCAGCAAATTCAGTTAACTTGCTCAACACCTTTGGTCCACCAACTGGTTCAACTTTGTACTTGCACACCCTATAACTTGCATTATGTATGCACCTTTGGTCCACCAACACCACCAGCGCAACCACCATCCACCACCAGGTCCACCACCACCAGATCCCCTTCTTCTTCCTCCTCTTCCACCAGATCTTCATCTTCATCCTCTATTTGCCCTTCCTCTGCTCCTGTTCCCCTGGTCTCCAAGAGCAACCATGGTGTCCTGGGATGATCTCCCAACCTCTTCTGAAGATGACTCGGTGACCAACAAGGTTAGTCATGTCCTCTCCTCCACGTAGCTAGGGTTAAACAACAGCTAGGGTTAAATAGCTTCTAGGGTTATACTTAACAAATGCAATTTTTTTTCTTTTTTAGCATCCTGCAACAATTTTCTGCAAAGAATGGACTGGCCTGGCAACAGATCTGCCTAGCTTTAAATGTGAGCATGGATCTTTGTGTGAGAAGCATGTGGCTTTTCAATCAGTTGATAGTGGAAGAAGATTCCTGGCTTGTGCACACAAGGTTTGTAAAAATCCAGATAATAGTGCCATTTTATCATCATTTTACAGTGGCAGTGGCTTTTATCTGAAGATTTGCAGATAACTGAATAATGTCACTTAACTGAATGTTTCTTTGGATGATAGGAAGTACCTAAATGCACCTATGTGGAATGGATAGACCCTGAGTGGCCTGAAGCATTGAAGATGAGCCTAGCTACCATATGGAGCATGTATGAAGAGGAGACAAAACAAAGCCTAAAAGAAAATGTGTTGAGCACTGAATAGAACTTGAAGATCATGGAAGAGAAGACAAAAATGGAGAATGAGCTGAGACATTTCAAGCTTGATTTTGCCAAGATGGTGGCTGAAAAGGAGCAGGCAATGAGCCAATTAGGCAACACATAAATTGCTCTGGCTGATCTGAAGGAAGAGCTTGAGAAGAAGAAGAGCACTGACAAATCAGTAACAAACATTCATTAGGTATTCAGGGCTAAGGCAGAGAAAGAGAGGGACCAAGTCATGCAGGAGAGGGATCAATTGAAGCAAGAGAAGAGAAAGCTTGAGTACATGATTGGTGACTTATTCAAACACAAAGAGGAGACCAAGGAGAAGATATGGAAGCTTAAGGGGATGCTGAATGATTTTGACTGAACTTATCTTGTTCTTGTCCCTGTGTAAACTGAATTTGTCCAAGTATGTTGTGAAATGGATTTGGTTGTCAACTGAATTTATCTTGCCTGTCAACTGAATTTTAAGTGCAATGGATTTGGTTTTCAACTGTAATATGTTGTTAAATGATTAGAACTGAATTGAGACATGATGTGTTGCTGTTTAAATAAAGAAGTAACATAACAAGATTGGTACATATTCGACATTCCAAGATAACATAACAACATTGGTACATAACTCCAGTCTTCATATTACTTGATCAGTTATCCATTACAACCATCACAACATGCAACCATTACAACCATCAAAGCATGCATCCAAACCCAAAACAAGTACTTAATCTACTTAGTGTGCTCACTGATTTCACTACATCTCACTTCTTCATAACTACTATGAAACACAACACATAAAGCACCATAACAACAACCATCACCAGCTTCAGCAGCAGTAGGATTTCTCTACCTAATCCAAGCAACATAGCAACTTGCTGCTTGGTAGCGAAGTTCTTCTCACTAGGGGTGCCAAATGACCCAAAATCAACTCTGCCAGCACCTCTCCCAGTCATGCCTCTTCCAGCTATGCTTCTTGTGTTCATTGCTTCAGTCCTCTTCCTCTCAAGCTCCTCCCTTTTATCCTCAGCTGCTCCTATTGCATCCACGGCAGCATAACCAACAAGAACCCTATGTTCAACAAGATGTTGCACATATTCAAGCTCCCAACGCCAGAAATCACAGGTGACCTATAAAACAGAGGAAACATAGCATATTAAGTTAACTGAAAAAGTTCAGTTAACTACAAAGTTCAGTTAACTATTAGGGCATATTCAGTTAACTATAAAACACACTAAACAAAGCATATTCAGCAGCACCAACCAATTGCAGTACCCTAATCTGACCCAAAACCCTAATGCAGTCTTATAGATCAATCTGATGCAGAACCAGTGGCAATATGGAGCATGTGCAGAATCTGAGGCAGAGGAATTTGACCTGGTGTTTGGTGCACCTGTAGAAGACCCACTCCTCGTGCTCGTCGGTGCCAGAGCGGTAGAACTTGACATGCTCGTCACAATCCGGGCACGGGGTCAATGGAACTACAACGGAGCGGCCACGTAGCCGAGATCGAACAAAGCTCGAAGATGACATGAGGAGAGAGGGCGACGGCAATGGTTGCGGCGGCGGAGAGAGGGCGGCGGCGGCAACGACGCAGTGGCGGAGGGAGAAGTCCATTGAAAGCGAATCAACCTGTGGTTGAGTTGGTTAGGTGGACAGTGGTATCCCCAACCCACCAGGGTTCAAATCCTGGTGCTCGCAGTATTCCTGAATTTATTTCAGGATTTCCGGCGATGCGCTTTCAGTGGGAGGAGACGTTCCCGTCGACGACGAGGCGCCTACGGTGACTTCGTAAATCTCAAGATGATATGCCGGCTCAGTCTCTCGGAGGTGCTCATAGGGGTAGGGTGTGCATGCGTGCGTTCATAGGGGTGAGTGTATGCGCGTGTATATGAGCGCTTGTGTCTGTACTGAAGGTCAAAAAAAAGTAATAGGACCTGTAGTGATTTTTTTTTCTCGTTCTGAATTATCTGAATCCCAAAAATGTCTCATCTTCAAATGCCCGCCATCCCTAAGCTCCGAGAGCGAAAATGGCGCCACCACCTCCAACCCTCCCTCCACCCTACCATTCCCTCCCCAACGTCCTTTCCCTCCCCCGCCGGCACGCCCGGCTCCCCATCCGACACCTCCTCACAGCGCACGCCCTCGCCGTCGTCGCCGGCCACCTCTCCCTCCCCGACCCCAACACCCACACGCTACTCCTTGCCGCTTACTCCCGCCTCGAGTGCGCCCGCGGCCCCTACACACTTCTCCTCCTCTTCCGCTCCTCCCTCCGCCTCTCCGTGCCCCCCACCCGCCGCTCCCTCCCTCTCGCCGTCTCCGCTGCCTCCTCCTTACGCCTCCACCTCCCGCTCGCACTCTCCCTTCACGCCGTCGCGGTAACCCGCAACCTCCTCCAGTTCGCGCACGTCGCCAACGCCTTCGTCTCCCTCTACGGCAAGAACGGGCTGCCGGACTCCGCGCGCAGGGTGTTCGACGAAATGCCCACACCGGACGTCATCTCCTACAATGCTCTGATGGACGGGTACATCAAGACTGGGCGACTGGGGCTTGCCATGAAGGAGTTCCATCCGATGCCGCAGCGGGACGCCGTGTCCTGGGGCACGGTGATAGCAGGGTGTGCGAAGGTCGGGCAATGGGAGGAGGCGGTGGCGCTGTTTAACAGGATGAGGGGCGAGGGATTGAGGCCAGACGATGTTGCATTGACTGCAGTGCTGTCATGCTGCGCACATCTCGGGGCGCTAGAGAAGGGAAGGGAGGTCCATGAGTATGTAATGCAAAGCAGGTCCCGGCCAAATGTGTTCTTGTGCACAGGGCTTGTTGATCTGTATGCAAAATGTGGGTGTGTTGAGGTTGCCCAGGAGGTGTTTGATTGGTGCCCTGTGAGGAATGTGTTCACCTGGAACGCGCTCATCGTCGGGCTGGCAATGCACGGGCATGGCACAGTGGCAGTCAAGTACTTCAACCGCATGCTGGTTGAGGGGGTTCGGCCAGACGGAGTTACCTTCTTAGGGGTCTTGATCGGTTGCAGCCATACCGGCCTGGTTGACATGGCAAAGAGGATCTTCTCCGAGATGGAAGGCAAGTATGGCGTGTCTCGGGAGCTTAAGCATTATGGATGCATGGCTGACCTGCTTGGTCGAGCCGGGCTCATCGAGGAAGCAATGAAGATGGTGGAGAAGATGTCGACGAAAGGGGATACTTACGTCTGGGGAGGTATACTCGCTGGTTGTCGAATGCACGGGAATGTGGAGGCAGCAGAGGTTGCAGCAAGACATTTGCTGGAGCTCAACCCTGAAGACGGCGGGGTATACTCTGTCCTGGCCGGGATCTATGCAGATGCTGGCAGGTGGGAGGATGTTGCAAGGGTTAGGAAACTGATGGATCACAGGACTGGTAGGAGAAATGTTGGTTGCAGTTCCATTACAACGAACCAATAAGACATACTGAGTTGGTCACGGCAGCATGCTATCTGAGCGTAGTAGATTCTACCTAGAAGGTTGCCATTGCAAAGTAGAAATCGGCTCAGGAAGATGACAGATACTCTGCTAGGGGTAGCAATGATTAGATAGTGACGAGGTATAAGGTATCGCTGTGAAAATTTCAGTATTTCAAGATTTACTGCACATATAGTTGTAACTGTCTTCTCCAAGAGTCCAAGACCCAGACCTCTTTGCGGTGCAAACTTTATGCTGCAAAACGCGAGTGTGAACATGACAATGCATATTCAAGGACTTCTTATCAAGTCAAAATGGGTTAGCAGTTAGGTGCAGCTTAGAATTCATGCTAATGGTTTCCCTGCCGCATACTTTGTACTAAATCAGCGACACTTACTTTGGGACTTTGGGACGGAGGGAGTGGTTCATGTCTATCGGTGTTGCAAAAACTCAATGTGCTACAAACCACGGTTAGTCCATGCTTAAAAGATGATGGAAGAGAAGCACGCATACTGCAATTGAAATGAGTTATGAAGCCACTCGTTGGTTACTTCGTTGTTCCAACATTCAGCTCCACAGATAACTAGCCTCCTGCGCTCCTTGCCTTCTTTGCAAACTTCTCAGGTCTCAGGTCCTGCGCTCCTTGCCTTCTTTGCAAACTTCTTCTCAGGTCTCAGGTCTTCGTTGTAGCCCGTTACACCAATCACGACCTCTATTCCTATTCAAAACAAGCAGCACATAAACTGATCTACACACCATTAGAGCGAAACATAGCTTGGTTCTTACTGTTGTCAGCAAGATTGCAATCGGTTAGCAACTGTTGAGAATCATGAATTCTCAATGACCAACACACGCACACATTGACTGATTTCACATACTTTTGAATCTATATCCAGTTTCTTGAGTTGCCAGGGCTTTGTCTGAAACTCATCAGTAGAAATCATGCCATGTCATGAGAACATATAGGTCATTACTGAACAATGCAAGCTGCCCCATGATTTCCATCAAATCTTCAAAATGATTCTGTAGCTCTTAAATCTCAATCTGAGCTTGTTCCCCCTTCTTTACAGTAGCCAAGCCTCAACAGCACCTTGAAGCATTCCGATCAGCAAAGCAGGAAAAGGTTGCGGCGGTACTGATCCAGTCGGTCCTGTCTTCATGCTTCCAAGGCATGGTCTGTTCTTGCCAAGAAGGCTCGGTTGTGCATAATTCATGATATTGTAAGTTTCAGAGTGAAAACACAATGGAAGATATGAACAACTCCTGCATCTGCCAAAACAACATTTTTATTTTGTCCCAATCAAATACAACAGGCTTTCATGTATGAAATGGCTACACAAATGTTATCCAAGGAGAAATGTTATTGCGTCTCTCAATGAGATAATTCCTTGCACAAATCTAGTCATCGGTTCAATAACGACAAGCCGCCGCACCCCTGATAAGATACATATATGATGTTAGAAATTCAAACCAATCTGTCAAATTTATGTTGAAATCATCAATTTTATAGACTGATCTCATGTAAAATGCAATCCTCACTCACTCCCTACATGCATGTGCCTTTATCTCACAAACTAGTACCTGGAACAGACAATTGATCCAACACCTCGAGCAACGTACTCGTGCTCAAACAGGTATGACACTGTCTCCGCCCATTCACCTGATATTGCAGCTCCAAAGCCTAAAAAGAGGGTTCAGTATAGAGTGGGATTATAATCACAAAGAAGACAAATACACTGTAAAAATGCAGTGCATGGATATATACAGAGTTAGCAAGAACCATAGCAATTTGTGCAGTTGAACGTATGCCCTGGTTTCAAGTGGACTTATGGACCATTGACCTCACTGATTCAATCATTCAATTATTAATGCAACAAATAAATGAGCCATTGGACATCAGCCTGGCCAGATAACTTCATGTTCTATTTTCTTCCTTTTCACATTTGATGAACCAACATCACAACATTCAAGCTGTGTCATCTAATTATGTAACAGAACGGGCATCACAGAAGCACATGAGTCCAAATTTATGCATGTCAAAAGAAGGTAACGGGTACAGGCTCAAAGCAAGATGAAGGGAACATACATTCTCCACGGTCAATTGCTCAAGTTCAATGCAAGCGTAAACATCATTCTTCGCCAGAGCCATGATATCACTGTAGAAACAGGTTAATGCTGAGTGAATTGAGTGAACAGGGCAGTTGCAAGATAATCACATCAGCTATCCTGGCGTTTTCTCTAAAGATAGTGATGCTCTGCATGGGTATATCAACTCCAGTTTTTCAGGAACATCATATACAAAAGAAAGAATTCCTTATTTAACACTATTTTAAATTGTGTTTCCCTATTTAACACTGAAAAACTTTTTCTTCCCTATGTAACACCAAGTGTAAATTTTATGCCCTTTATGACACTTCCGTCCATTTTTAGGTTTAACGGTGTTAGATTGCATGTAAAAAGACACTTTTGCCCTTACACATAGAGCTCTTGCATGTGTGTTCAACTAGCGACGTGAGTGGAAGAAAGCTTTGCTGTGTGCGGCTCATTCGGCTTGGGTTGCAGCGACGTGCAGGATGCAGTGCTCACCTCCGCGACCTGGGCTATGGCAACAGCAGCTGTGGCAGCACGACGGCATGTGCCTACGGTTATACGGTATGCATGGAGCTCACTGTGGCGTGGCGCGCAGCCGGCGGCAGGCGGACGGTGGAGCAGTGGCACTATGAGACGAGTGGGGCCAGTGCTGCGTAGGAAAGCAGAGGCCGGGAGCAGCGCAAGTGCCAGCAGGGTCACGTTTCTTTTCTTATCCGCGATGAGCTTTAACGGCAGGTTAAATATATATGCACGATTGGTCATGAAGCTGGTGTATGCATGTGCTCGTACGTGCTATCTCTTGATGGATTGTTGCTGCATGTAAACTTTTTTTTTGACGGGTTGCTGCATGTAACCTTAGCTAATTAGCTTTGCCTCACATATGACCGCACCATACCATGTGCGCATGCGTATTCGGGTATTCGTGTGCTGTCTTGTATGCGTATACACCCAATACACCCGGCTAATCATACATGCATGCAAGTATTGAAATTTTGGTCAAAAATCACATTAGGGGCAAAAGGGTCTTTTCAAGTGTTATTTAACACCGTTAAGGCTCAAAATAGACGGAAGTGTTATAAAAGGCATAAAATTTAACCTTGATGTTAGATAAGGAAGAGAAATATTTTCAGTATCAAATAGGGAAACAAAGTTTAAGACAGTGTTAAATAAGGAATTATACAAAACATTTGAAACAGAACCAAATGTGAAAAATAATAAGGATATAAATTAGCTGGTGAACGCTATAGGATTTCTGGTGACACCAAATTTATCATCAAAAATAAACCAAGATTATGCCAAATGGACCAAAGAAGCAAAGAGTTCAAAGTTTCAACTTTCAAGACACGGCCAGTTGACCACATTACATGCATGGACTATTGACCTCACAGCCATTCATCAACCTTACCAAATGGACCACACAACTGATGTGCAGTGTACAATGAGGAATGCAATTCACATTTAGGAATCTTTAATCCTTTAGCAGCTTAGGATGCTGATCAGGAAACAAGCAGAAGTGCCACCAGGACAAACAGGATAGGTCTACCAACTCCTTTTCTAATAACTTCACTAAGATAATTAGTACCGCCCTCTCAAAATCCAGATGAACCCAGTTAACCTTACCAGAAATTTAGTCACACAACATAATTTTTCAGAAATCCATGACCGATGAAAAATGCGGTAAATAGGTCATGTTTATCTTGCTGTGAAGGGAATAGACGCATGAGTACGATGGAAAAGGCACCAAATAGTATACAGACGGTGCATTTCTAATAATGGCCAGTGTGTATCTAGTACTAGTAGTTACTAGTAAATGCGTACGTACAATGCACATTGATATCAGGTAGGGTATTAATTGAGAGTTAAAAAAAGGTAGGATATTAAAGCATGCTGATGTATTAGGTAGGATATGTTTTTAGGACAGGTAGTATTAATTACATGGTTAGTCCTAATGTTAATATTTGGTATGAAATTGATTGCACGCTAAACATGTTGAGCGCTCATCATTGGAGCAATCAAGGTCGTTAGATGCACATGGTTTGATGACCAAGATTAGTTGGATCTGCCCGCTTTGGGTCTTCTTATATTGGTATAGATAATAGTGTGTATCTAGTAATAGTTATAAAGAGTGACCTGTAGGTATACTTGACCAAGATTAGTTTGATGCACATGGTTTGATGACCAGAAAGTTTGTTATGTTTTTGTAATGCTGTACCATAATCCTCAAATACAAATGCAATAAGCAACAGCTAATCAGTATGTGTTCTTAGCATATAACAAAATCTGCATTCCTTCCAAAAAGCAAAGCTGTGATTTTGCTACTGTTAGACTGTTGGGGTGACAATTAATGACCAGAATTATTAAGAGCAAGCTCTCGTTTTAGGGTGCATCCTGTCATCAGACAAAGATAACCAGTGTTTATTCAAGCCCCAGTGGGCAACTTCATCAAGCATGGTTAATTGAGTATATCAATACAAAAGTGCAGAACAGTAATAGCAGTATATCAATACCTGAGTGAGTAGACATCAAGAAGGGATCCATTATCATCAACTATAGGAATTGAGCTTATTCTATCTGTAGAATGAAAAAAAAATGTAACAGTTAGGTTCAGTAGCAGTTACTTCATAATGATGTAAAATCTCGCATGTGCCGTTTAAAAAGGAACATGTAAGATGAGTCCCATTTTTTTAAGCATTTCAAGTGGATGGCAGGTTTCCAGGAATCCAACAGCTAAAATCTGATTATTGTATTTTACAAAGAGTAAAATACACTACAAGTCCTAAAACTATTCGAGGGGTGCCAAGTTAGTCCTAATACTATGAAAATGCACATCTAGGTCCTAAAAGTTTGCTAAGTGTGTCGCCCGCAGTCCTATCTGTGCTGCATCAGTTTTTGACTTGCACGCGTGGCAGGTTGACCATTGGCATGTGGCAGCTTTTTGCATAAACCTCCCTAAAAGGTCCCCTCTTCTAATTTGTGGCACCTCCTCTTTGCACGCATCCTCTCTGTTGCCCTCCTCCCCACCTGAGCGGATCCTGTCTAGCTATAAACCTGCACAAAACACTTACAATCCTCGTGTATAGGCTACTAGCATTGCACAAAGGGAGAAAAAAACAAGACAAAGAAACATGGAAGCAAAAGGGAACGAATACAAATACGTGCATTGCATGTGGATGCGGAGCTACAATAACGACACCATCAAATTGACCGATGGGAAATAACGAGGGGGCAGAGAGGAAGGCGCACACCAGACTAATCGAGCTAGAACTCACCAAGAGGAACAAGCCTAGGGTACCAAGCACCCACTGGCGGAGATCGGGGCAGCATCTCGAGAAACGAAGTCGGGGACAAACATTCCTATTGAAGCGTTGTTGTACGCAGGACGACAAGTCGGTGGTGAGGATGTGTTCGGCGCATTGTGGTGCTCCTCTGAGTGGGGGGAATCGGTTCGGCATACTCCGTTTACCCTGATTGCCGGTGGCGACAACGGCGAACACGATAGTGGCGCAACTTGTAAGGTGGCATCGATTGTGAAGAGCATTGTCGTCGCGTCATCTGATGCGGTCTACGGAGACGATGGGGAGAACTTGAGGCGCTTGGTGGTTTATATTGCATATGACAAGATGTGCCCACCCAAACATGAGTGCATCAGTAACATAATGGCCGTAGACGGCAAGAACAAGAGGAACTACGGGACCTAGTTGTGCCATGACGAGGAAGTAGATGTAGGACACCTTGTGGAACATATTGGGCACGAGCTCAAGTACACCGCTGCCAATTTTGCGTTTGCGCCACATTCACCGCTAGAATATGGTTGTCGGAGGTGGAGAGGAAGCCAAGGGAAAGGGCGAGTGCGAAGGGAAGGGGCCACAAAATTAGAAGGGTGGACTTTATGGTGGGTTTTGTGCAAAATATTGCCACATAACAGTGGTCGACCTAACACGCATGCAAGTCAAAGCTGATGCAACACTGATAGGACTGCCCGGGTGACACACTTGACAAACTTTTAGGACCTACATATGCATGTTTCATAGTATCAGGACTAGTCTGACACCCCTCAAATAGTTTTAGGACTTCTGGTATTTTACTCTTTTACAAATATAGCTATCCAAATTTCTCGTTTGAGAGTTTAATGGGTACCCCATTAAACTAGCCATGGACAGGTGCGTGGAAGCTATCTATCCATGTGCCACAACCATGAGTTGGTTGCGAGATCGTATAGGTTTCAGCTCTAGCCTACCCCAACTTGTTTGGGACTAAAGGTTTTGTTGTTGTTTGTTGTTGTTTACTGTTTAATGGGTACTCCATCTATTCATAAATAGACGATTCTCCGATATGCAACTTTGACCATTATATTTTGTGTGAATGTATTAGGGGGGGAAATCCAAACCTGTTGCAGGGTAAATGTATTTCTCATAACAAATCTAAATGTATCATTTTTGTCTAAACCAGCCTAAATTTTTTTTAGTATATTATTAGTCCTTAGGAAGTTTGACTGCTCACTTTGTAAAACTCATCTATTTCTGGACAGAGGTTATAATTCAGGAGGGCGAGGTATTAGAGTTAACAGGTAAAACTCAAATGTGTCACTGCAAAAGATGACAACTAATGGGATGTCTGCATGAGTCAATGATGACACGTGTTAGAAGCCATTGTACAAGTCCTAGGCACATTTATTTCAGACTTGATCACTTGAAATTGATTACCTGCACTATTCAAGAAGGTACTAATCACCTATTCCCTCAAAAAAAAGGAACTAATCACCTACTTAATTTGATTATGTAGCCAACAACCACCGCGCCATGTTCTTATGGATCAACTGGGGAAAATGACATGACTATCTGCATTTCAAATGTCATTCATATGGTACCTTCCAGAAGAAAATCCAGGCAAGTAATTAGAGGAGCACTCAGTCCCGATGTTCTAAGCTGTCTAGTACTTGCCCTTCCAGTATGCTGCGACCATGTACCAATAGGAATACTGGAAATCTGATTTCGCAAAATGGGATAACCTTCTGGTTGTTCTTGGAGCTTTGAGCAAAGAACTAAATACATCATCAAGGTAAAGGTAAGCTCAAGTCGAGATGCATGTAAAATTAGCTAGGAGAACAAAGTCTCATAAAAAATACCGTACATTTCAAAATCCCTGGAAGAGTTGCAAGATTAAGTAACGGTATCCCTGATATATCCGTCGAGGACTTAAAGATAGGGACTGAAGATATTTCATTTTGTATTATAGTCAGTGCCACATCCCTTAAATTATCCGAATCCTTAACCTGGGAAAGAAAAAGGACAATTATTATTTCACCTTACTGATAAAAAGAATTAAAAAAAATGTGATTCCAACAATTTTCAACTCCTGCAAATACAGAAGATTCAAACTATCTGGCATGTTTGGATGCGGGGGAATTTAGGCTTTGGAATAGCCAGGCCCCATTCTACCATATCCCAAAAGGCCTGGGTTAGCAGAAAGAATCCCAACAATGAATGGTAGATCAGTCAATATGAATGTTCAAGTAACGATATTGACATATTTTGGAAAGTGATGGTAGCATTATATTTCTGGGCATATAATTAGTTTTTCCTATTTGCCAATGCTGATCTTTAGAATGTTTACACAGCTAATCAGATGAGAGAAGCCTGGAAAATGTACAGGAAAATACATGAACTAATGGCCTTCTTTGCATGCCTGCGACATCAGCCCCTCCATAATACTGCAGTTTTGCTTCTTTCCAAGCAGAAACTGAATGCATTTCAAGCTCTTCATGGCCCAGAACTCGAATGTTCCTCTGCAACTGCAGATCTGAGAATTAGTAAAAACCTCGCTGACAGAGGAAGAAATACAGTAATTGAGATCTCACCTTTCTCAAAATTAATACAAAATCAGAAGCAGTTAGCATGCCTGTTACGGTTCCTTGGCCATCATCCCAAAGAGGAACCAAAGCAAGGCCCTAAAACAAGAAAAGGTTAATTGCGTACTACTCTTAAGGTATTTGATTGACAAGGTAAATCACATGTTGGCTAGTGGACCACACCATAAATGAATACACCAGGACAAATACCAACACAAATAGAACCTTGAAAAGTAAATGATAATTTTTCTCATCTAAATTACGTTACTAAATGCCAGGTACAGTGGTGATAGTAATTGTGTTATTCTGGGTAAAGACAAAGGAGATGTCTGCTGCTATAAGAATTTGGATAACTGTAGAACATATAGGGCGGGATGGGATTTGCGGCTAATGATGAGGGTACTTGTTCCAAGAATATTTTTTAAATTCCTCAATAACATGATGATCCAACACAGGGAAGTTCAGACATAACGAAGTAAAAAAAACAAAAGCACACATAGCAGTTCTTGCAAACACATACCTCATCATGCATAATATTAAATGCTTGTTTGACAGGAAGCCGAGCGTCCAAAATTGCTATCTGAAATACTTATGTGAAAACTGATTATTGCATGGTCAAAGACAAAGTGTTGATCATAAAACAAGAGCCTAACCTTGCTAGAAACAGGAACAACATCATATATGGTATTATGTAATAGTATTTCAGAGACCCGATGGCGGAAAACTGCAATCTGCATGCCTGAGTTTCGAGATGGTGGTTCCGGTGGCATCTGTATGGAGATTTATGGCACAGTACATAATTAAGCATTAGTTATTCAGGAGAGTCTATGAATTATGCAAGACAAAAAATAAAATTTGGAACTTCGACACGTACTGTTGTCAAGATAGTACCCTCATCCAAATTCATTCTTCTAATGGGAGGTGGCTCTAGCTGTACAGCCGGGTGTGTATTATTCTCCACAAGTGTGACAAGCATTTCATTGCTGATCAGGCCATATTCATCACGTACAATAGGTTTTGTGTCATCACATCTCCAGACACCATCCACCAAAAAGCGGTACTGAATTGAACCAAAAGACCACATCAATGTACGCATATGCATTAATAAAACACAGAAGCTGGAGAATATTGTACGGAAGTAGTGGGGCACTGGTACAGAAAGCATAGAAGGAATGTACTATCGGCAAAAAAATTACCAGAGCAAGATCATGTTTGAGTTGCTTCCTAACCTAAGAACGGAACTATAAAGAATCACATTGGGAACGTCACTAGCACAATGCCCATATTGCTACAGATTTAAATAAATCTGGGCCAGATCCAACGAACTATGCTTCTGCCAGATCCATTAGGTGGCATAGCCCAAAGGTGGCCAGACCGCCGCCACCAGTTTGACATCTTTATAGGGATAAATGGTAGAATGTTCAATAACAAGTGAGTAAATTTGCTGCATAAACGCAATGTTTCCTACAATTACATAGAGAGTGAGTTGTAAAAGAATAGCAGCAAAGGGCTTTATAATTAGAGTCATGCTTGGCTGCATTTGCAGAAATAGAAGGTGCTAATCTTGGAGCAAAACAGCCAAAATACAAAACCCAATATTGAGTATGCGAAAGATTCCATGGTTATAATTAATTAGGCAATAATTTTGAAAGATCTTATGGATTGCTAAGTAACAAGGTAAAGGGATGTCAATGCATGGCAAATCAGACAAATTTGGTACAATTCAAGTATTAATAGCTTCCAGCAGAAAAGAGGCTTAGATGGAATAAATGGCAAAAAAGGAAACCTGGTCACAACATACTGCAAATTACAAACGGCATTACAGGCATTGATGTTGTATACTCAAATCTAGAGCAGCCGTTAAGCCCGTTACATAACATCTCCAACTTCTTGTCTGGAGTTATGGAGACATGGAACAGCTTCTTGTCCTGGTTCGTTTTTTAGCATTAAAGATTAATAACTCCCTACCTATTAAGTTCGCTAGATAGATGCGCATGTCTATGGCTTTGAAACAGGTAAGACTCCAAACCATGAAAAAGGGTAAGTTGAATCCTTACAATTTTTGTACAGGTCAAAGTGCAAAACTAGGAATGTCAATGGTGCAGCTGAAACAACAGTCTTTCCCCTCAAACTCCAAATAGTAAATGTAACAGGTCAACTTTTGATTCCCCGCTTTTTTGGCAGCATGCTCTACAACGAATGGCGGTACTATCAGAAGTTGTTAGCTACCATCGTTTCGACATAAAAATATGGCACGTATCTGGCACTGAATCTAAGATGTCATTTATTACGACCATACCTGGTTTATCTGCTAGTGCACAGGGCCTACAATCATAGAACTTCAGTAGCATATGTTATCAAACAAGACATCAATTATGTTAGGCATTCCTCAAAACAAAACAAAATCACTGTAGGCCAATTGTACATTATTCCAGACCTAGTACTTGTGATCCTATGTCTAACCAGAGTTTTCATACGGCTACTGCCTGCCACACTGCAAGACAGTCATCGAAAGCAGCAAAAGGGTCACATAGAAGCGTAACAGTTAAAAAGTATCTGACATCAGTAAACCACCCCTCGTCATCCATATGCAGATTTTAATCACTGCGTGCAATTAATGTCAGATCACCAGTTAAGCTCACTAACTGTAAATCTGTATGAAAGCTCTCTGCCTGCCACACTGCTGACAAAATGGATACAGCTTGTGCGCATAAAATAGCTCGACCCAAGAACCGGCTACATTCTCACTTGTCACTTGTGTGTCAATGATAACTACTTCACTGGTTCATCCGTTCATTCATGCTCGAATACAATACATTGAGCCAGCACCTTCGATGGCCATCCACCACAACTCAACTACTGCAACAAACCTTAGATGCATTGCCGTCCATGCACCCGTCTGACAGGAAAAATTGGACACAAGGACAAACACAAAATCAACACGATAAGCCCTCCCGACAAGCAACTCGATCCTGCTTGTCTGAAAAACACCATAGCTCATACATACAAGCACGCCAATCGTAACTAACAAGCCTAGCAGCAAAGCGATAAACAGTGCAACAGCACACAAATACATAATCGGAGCGAGGAGCGGGCGTAATTTAGGCAATTCGAGCATAATCTAGGCAATTCGAGCATAACGCACCTGATAAAGCCCTGGTGGGAGATCGAACACCACCTGGAACTCAGTCCCGACGAGCCCCATGGGGCACTCCCTCCAGCTGACAAGAGAAAAGAAGATGAAATCAGTATTACCAATGGAAAAAAGATCCAGCTTCTGGGCACCGAGATCGAATCCCTGCGGCCCACCCGGTGAAGCTGCCACAGAAGGAGGCGCGCTGGCCGCCGAAGGGCCAGGCGAAGCGCCGCAGCACCATTGGAGAAGCCCCGGGGCAAGAACCCTAGGAGTGAGTGTCGCGCGCCCTCCGCGCCGAGCAGGGCCTATAGCTAGTCGAGACCCGAGTCCATCCAAGGACCAGCAGCCCGGATTGGGTTGTAGGAGAGCACGCGAGGGCAAAGGACGGTAAGGATTGGTGTGAGGTGAAATAAAAAAGAGGAATTTTGGTGCGAGGAGGGAGAGGGAGGGAGAGGGAGGGAGGCGGAGATGGAGAAGCGAGGGAGGAGTGAAGAGAGAGAAAAGCGTTGGTGTTTAGTGTTGGAGTGCGTGGAACGTTTGTTTTTTTCCGCTTTCGTTTTGGTTGGCTTGGGTTGTTGGAGCGAAGAGCCTTGGAGTGTGCTCATGGCTTATGGCTTTGGACGCTCCTCCATGCCACTAGTGCGCCACCAATTCCCTACGGCGCACACTACATCTCCAACACACTAAATACCTGTAAAAATTGTTTTTCCACGTAATTAGAGCAAATCTCCATCTCCGTCTTTATCTTCATCTTCATCTCCATCTCCACTAATATTAAAAGCGCGAGTAGGATTAGATCCATATAATGCCAGCCGTACGATTACTTGCATCTAACGCTCTAAAGTTGTTCAATGTTGTATCAGCATAAATGATACCCCGTAATCAGAGCCCTTAATCGCCTAAATCTAATGATCTAGATTACCCCAATAATGTATCAAGTAAACTCATTGCCAAGGTGAACAAACTGCCACGTAGAGTTTATACAGATTCATGTCACACGGTGACGTAATACCCTACTTCATATTTGTGGTTGGTTGATGGTGGTCATATGGCGAAGTTTACATACACTCGGGGTGGGTTGTTAGTATGCTCGGGAAAGCTTTGACGTGCTCGGATGAGCCTTGGGTATGCTTAGTGCTTCTGTGATGGCCTAGACTACGCTGCCGAGCGTCCTTTTGGTGGCTATCTTACTCCCGACCTTGCTACTAGTGTGTGTGTATCTTTTTCTTCTGGTCGAGCTCTTCCCTCTTGGTGGCCGCGGTTCTCCCCTTATATAAGCCTGGGGGCACCACAGTGGCCACTTTACATATGTGTGAACATACGTTGAATACGTGGGCTGGAGCCCACGTGACACCACATTACACAATTCCTCGCCTAGGAATCGTACACATGTGGCGGTCTATGGTTGGTAGTCTGCTTTCATATTTAATGCAAGGTGTTGGACGTGTCTTGGTTTGCATTCGTAGTCATTTGAACATGCACGACGCTCAGCATGCGTGTACCATGTTCGGGTTGCAAGCACGCCTGCAAAGGCGTCATTGATGACGTTTTATCCTCTAGCCTGTTTATCCTCTACGGCACAGATCTTGCCAACGATCTACATACCTCTATTGTGGCTTTTGAAAGGAAGTGGACTTCTTTTGGATGTTGTAGTTCACTTTCTCCCTCTCATGCCCTGACCTAATTCCGTGGTTCGGGTACCCCCGTCCCGATTATGCCGACAGATCAATTCTAGACTCCTCCTGTTATTCTCCCTCTCTCTCTCTCTCTAACACCAAACCGAGCACAGCCGCTCTGATTCCTTCGCCGAAGCCACTTTGCCGCTTCACTGCCAGAAGGACGTCGTCGACGAATTTCCTCAAGTCGTGGACCATCCTCCGCGACGCCGTAGTTGGATGTCTTCACCAAGCTATCTTACGAGATCCTGAAAACAGCTCTTCACTCAGTTGTGAATTAGTGTTCATCCGTCGTATTTTTCTTTGGATATATATTGCATGTTTGATCCATAAAAACTTAGGATTCTCATTGTATACAGTTTCTATATCTCCCTCGCATACAAATCTCTGAAGGGTAACCTTGTGTTTTCTCCCGATCGGCAATTGTTGTAGACTCTATTTGTGCAAACTTCTCTGTATGTACAAATTTCTCTCAAACCACTATTTTAACTTCAAAATCATTTCTCACACCCAAAGAATATGCTAAGGAAATATTCTCATTTCTCTCGGGTCACTTTTTTATTTTCAAATTCATCTTTCTATTCATGCACTCTTGTATTTTGCCTCGCACCTTAATCCTCTTCACATTACAATGGCCTCTATCAGTTCAACCGGGAACACTATAAAAAAAGCACTACTGCAGGATGCTGCTAACGTGACACTACGATCAGAGACCCTTTGACGAAACTTTGTGCGATGCATTAATCGCAAACGGTGATCTAAAAACCGTCAAAAAAGATGCAAAATGTTTGTGATAAATGATACATCAAACACGGTTCAGATTTTAGTTGCGTGTGCTATGCGGGGCAAACGGTTGATCCATACAAACTGTTTACGATGAGATAGAACAACAGAAACGGGCAGCCAGATCAAGGTGTGTGCGATATACGGCCAGTTCGCTCTGATGAACCGTTTGCGATGATCGAGGTGAACACAAACGATTCGGCGTTACAAGATGTGTGTGATATCCAGCAAACAGGTTGGTAATCAGAATTGTGTGCGATCATTATAGACAGCCCATACGGTCTTTTTTGTGAATTGTGTGCTCGTCAGGTGTCGGTGTCAAAACTGGCAGACCTCAGGGTAGGGGGTCCCGGATTGTGGATCTAGGATTAATGGTAACAGGAGATAAGGGACATGGTATTTACCCAGGTTTGGGCCCTCTCTAAGAGGTAAAACTCTACTCCTGCTTGATTGTATTCGATATATGTGTTACAGGGTCGATCTACCTCGAGATTAGTATGGGAAAACCCTAGGCTACGGGGGATGAAGATTGCCCTCTCCCTAATGACTACACCCTTCGGTTTATATAGACACTGATATGGCTAGGGTTACTAAAGATAGATTGCATATCAGGAATAAAAGAGATCTTGTGCCTTCATGACTTTGAGGATTCTCCACGGCTTCATAGAATTCCTCCCATAGTACGGCTCCACTAGTCTGGCCCGTATACAATGGGCCGTCACCCTGAGGACCCCTTAGTCCACGACTCCATCAGTAGCCCCCGAACTTGCCTTCAACGCCAGAACTTGTGTCCGACATCCGCTCTGATAACTGTATTCCGCTTGCAAGGTGAGTACTTCAGTGGATCTTCCTTGTTCAGTGCCACGCGATGTTCGGAGTCCAGAATAGCTATTTTTCTCAATACCGAAGGTAGTAATAAAAAAAATTTATCGAGCGCAAATAGTGCCTTTATCTGACAACTTTTCCTCTTTTAACGAAGAGACGCTCCTGGCCATAATGCCGAGCAGTTACTATTTCTTGAAGCGCGGCTCGAGGCCGATGCCACCCTTGACACGTCCCTTCGAGGTGGAGATCGTGTCCCGCCTTTTGGGGGATATGGTTAATGATTTCGATCCCCCCTTTCATAATGTTGCGGAGATATCGGGAAGTGGAGAAGCCAACACTACAAAAAAAGACACATCCCTGACATTTTGGGCCAAACGAAATTTTTTTCTGTCATACTTATGACACTTCTATGACGATAATTGTGACAAAACCTGGTATCATCATAGATGTGGTGGGGTCCTACTTCTATGACAGAAAATGGGCTTTTCGTCCTGGGCGGGCCGGAGACGTAGCTGCATGACATTCTTTGGGCCGTCCATGATGGAAAAAACCGTGGTAGAAGCGAGGGCGAGGAAAATATCGGGGAGTTCCCGGTTACGGTGGGTGGTCGGGGGCCGAGCGATGTGCGTTTCTCTCGTACGTACGCGCGTGTGTGCAAGGCGTTGCGCTTTAACTGAACCTGAGCGAGGCGTTGTGCTCTAACTGAACCCGAGCGATTGCACTGCAGGCTACGCATTACTGAACCCGAGTGATCGATCGATCCCTTGCTGTTAACTGAACCCGAGTGATTCCTTCGCTACTGCTGCTAACTGAAGCCGGTCGTTGTTGCCTCTTGATGAATAGTGAGCGTTGTTGGGGGGTTTGGATGAACAGTTCCCGGTGGGGGTTGGATGAACAGGACCCCGTGGTAGTAGAGGCCGTTGCCGCTGGATGAACATTACCCCGATCGATCGAGCCGATGGATGAACAGGACCCCGTGGAGGGCTGGTTGAACAGTAGCTGGTGGAGGGCTGGTTGAACAGTAGTCGGTGGAGGGCTGGATGAACAGTAGCCCGTGGAGGGGTGGTTGAACAGGCCCCCGTGGAGAGGGTTGGCTGAACAGTAGCCGGTGGAGGAACGGTGGAGGTTGGATGAACATGAGCCCGTGGATGAATAGTCGCAGATGGAGGCTAGAGGAGGTCGACGATGGATGGACATGAGCCCGTGGAGACAGTCGACGGTGGATGAATAGTAGCCCGTGGAGGCAGTCGACGATGAAGATGAACAATATCATGTGGAGTCCTGTTTTGCGGTACGCCACACCCCTCCTGATGAACAGGACCGCCGTTTCGACCATAGCGCTCCAACACAAGTCTATTTCCTCCGTTTTGCGGTATGCCACACCCCTCTCGATCACAGGACCCTGTTTCGACCGTAGGAGGTCCGTTTCCTCCGTTTTGCAGTACGCCAGACCCCTCCCGATGAACCGGATCCCGTTTCGACCGTGGACGGTCGAACACAAGGCCGTTTCCTCCGTTCTGTAGTACGCCAAGCCTCGTTTCCATTGGTTATTCCATCCAAGCCAGTTGGCTCCCGATGAACACGACGATGCATTCCATTCTGACCCAGCCGGTTGCCCACCCATGATCACGACAATGAGAAGCTTCTCCGTTCCGACCCAGCCATGTACACGAGCCCTGGCCATATGTATGCGCGAGTAGGCGTTTGAGACCCCGTCCGTATGTACGTACATGGCCGTATTTACTTTCTTGCACCCTGGCCACTATACGTACGTGTACATGCTACATGCGCGCCTCTATTACGACACATGCCCTTCCTTACACGGCCACGGTTCATCACTGCAGCCTGCAGACAGACCGATCGTATGTACGTACATGTTCGTGACCAGAATGACAACGCTACGTATGCTTCGACCGGGTGGGTCCCGACTGTCAGGCACTTCCTTGCGTGCGAAGAT